GACCTCGGACCTCGGAACTCAATGATTTGTGTGACGTAAATGAAAAATCAACATGTTGCATGCCGGGTTTTGAGTTTCGGGTTTCAGCACTTTAAAACTCAGTGATTTGTGCAATGAGTGAAAAATGGACATGTTGTGTACATATTTTCGGGTCTCGGGGTTCGGGTTTCGGCCCTCGGAGCTCGGAACTCAATGACTTGTGTAATATAATTGAACAATGGACATGTTGCACACCCGGTTTTGAGTTTCGGGTTTCCGCACTTGAAACTCAGTGATTTGTGCAACAAGTGAAAAATTGAAATGTTGCATACATATTTTTGGGTCTCGGGGTTCGGGTTTCGGCCCTCGGCACTCGGAACTTGATGATTTGTGTAATATAAATGAAAAATGGACATGTTGCATGCCGGGTTTCGAGTTTTGGGTTTCGGCACTTGAAACTCAGTGATTTGTGCAACAAGTAAAAAATGGACATGTTGTGCACATATTTTCGGGGTTCGGGGTTCGGGTCTCGGACCTCGGACCTCAGAACTCAATGATTTGTGTGATGTAAATGAAAAATCAACATGTTGCACGCCGGGTTTCAAGTTTTGGGTTTCAGCACTCAAAACTCGGTGATTTGTGCAATGAGTGAAAAATGGACATGTTGTGTACATATTTTCGGGTCTCGGGGTTCAGGTTTCGGCCCTCGGAGCTCGGAACTCGATGATCTGTGTAATATAAATGAAAAATCAACATGTTGCATGCCAGGTTTCGAGTTTTGGGTTTCGGCACTTGAAACTCGGTGATTTGTGCAACAAGTAAAAAATGGACATGTTGTGCACATATTTTCGGGGTTCGGGGTTCGGGTCTCGGACCTTGGACCTCGGAACTCAATGATTTGTGTGATGTAAATGAAAAATCAACATGTTGCATGCCGGGTTTCAAGTTTTGGGTTTCAGCACTCAAAACTCGGTGATTTGTGCAATGAGTGAAAAATGGACGTGTTGTGTACATATTTTCGGGTCTCGGGGTTCGGGTTTTGGCCCTCGGAGCTCGGAACTCAATGACTTGTGTAATATAATTGAACAATGGACATGTTGCATGCCGGGTTTCGAGTTTTGGGTTTCGGCACTTGAAACTCAGTGATTTGTGCAACAAGTGAAAAATGGAAATGTTGCATACATATTTTCGGGTCTCGGGGTTCGGGTTTCGGCACTTGGCACTCGGAACTCAATGAATTGTGTAATGTACATGAAAAATGGACATGTTGCACACTGGGTTTCAAGTTTCACGCTTTGGCACTCGAAACTTGGTGATTTGTGCAGTGAGTGAAAAATGGACATGTTGAACAATGGGTTTCAGGGTCTCGGGTTTGAAAAATAGCATAATAACAACTTTCATGTTTTCATTATCATTTGCCTATATTGACTACCGAGTCTGATAAGAGACCCCTTGGATGATTCATTGCTCAATGAAATACTACCTGATTGGAAGTGTGATGGTTATCAGATATTCATTTGTCGACTCCCGGGTCCCGGAACTTGGAAGTCAGTATGGTTGACCCAAATTTGGGTGGTCAGAACTTGGCATCTCATAGGGCAACACAAGCTTCACACCCTGGATTCCAAATTCTGCAAGACAACCTGTGCACCATCAAAGGCCATGTCAGGAGATCACCTGCTGCTCCGGGAACTCAGGAACTTTGATTTATTACCTCCTCTGAGTACGGTTGACCCAAAGGTTGGTAATCGGAACTTGGCTTCTCATAGGGTAACACAAGCTTCGCACCCCGGATTCCAAATTTTGCAAGACAACCTGTGCACCATCAAAGGCCATGTCAGGAGATCACCTGCTGCTCCAGGAACTTGGTAACTTTGATTTTATTACCTCCTCTGATTTGGTTGATGTACAACTACCTCAGCTCCATCGTGTTTACAATTATGATACACATGGGCCCACCCATCTATATTTTATACCACCCTCGGCCCACCGGTCTAATACAACATCCCATACAACACCCTCGGCCCACCGGTCTAATTAATATGCGTCTGGGCCCACCCGTATAATACAATATTGTATAATACCCTCGGCCCACCCATCTAATTTAATATGTGTCTGGGCCCACCCGTGAATGTGATAACAAGTACCTACCCATCTATTTCATACACATCTACCTTAATATACCCATCTGCATAATATCCAACTACCTCGGCCCACCCGTCTACCTAATATTCATGTACATCGGCCCACTCATCTACTCTATATATCCCCTGCATGGGCCCACCCGCCTCCATCGGGAATAATTTGCCTCCCGGCCCATCCGTCATAGTCGAGGATATTTTGATCATGGGCCCATGGTCCGCTGGCCCGTATCATACGGGATATTATGCACGTCCGTTCCCTTGTATTATACAGAAATAGGTCACTGTAATATGTGGATTCTAGGTGGATGATAACCACCAGCTTCTTAAGAGCCCTCCACCTCGACCTTCAGACGTATGAGCAATTACGTACCGAGTTGTGTAGGTGTTCGCCTCAAACTCTAAATGTCATAACTAATGATGTGATCAGTAATAGTACTCAACGATGCTGGGAGCCAGACTGCTGTTGGATGGGCATATTTACGAGAAAAGGTATGCTAGCTCTAATGCTCTCCTTTGACTCACTATTAAATGTTATGGACAGTTCTTGGATGTTTTCACTGATATTACTTCTGAGTTAAGGAAAGTCATTAAAGGTGCTATGACATCATATACTGGGTTTGCATCTAATGCGGACCACCAAGCCTCGAAAATCATCCATTTAATTGACCTATTCAATTCGCATCACCAAGAAATGGTAAGGCATTTGAGATCACATAATAGGTGCTCAAGACTTTTCGTCCTTCAGATCCAAGAAGCAATCACCAGCCTTATCACCACCCAAGGTTTCATGGAGGTACTATGGCGCTCGTTATTCCGACCCATTGCTATGTTACCTGGAGGACGCGCAAGATTAGCAGATTTGTACCCAGAAGCTATCCAAACCTTGACGGGGTTTCTAAGCAAGGGTATTGTGGGCGTACTAATAACTCTGGTGAGCTTTAACTCTTTCCGTTGTAGAGACTCGTGCATCTCATAGTGTGATATGGCGCTTTACACTAGGGAGTATACAGCACCAACTCGCAGCATCACTCTGTGTACCATCCACAGTGATTCCTATATGACGCGCAGCTTTCCCGCACAACGCGCGCCATGCGCGCACCATTCCCGCGCTTCACGATGTATACGCGCGCGCGCGTTCCCGCGCTTGCGCGCCCTATAGCGCCAGCCATCCAGATGCATCCATCCACTGTCCACCAAGCTCCCTAGTGCGTATATTTCCATTTCCTTTATTAGCATAGTTCCACCTTTATTTTTATCATAGTTTCTCACTCATATATATTTTTACATACCTACTCGGTAGCGCTTCGGCTCCGCATGAGCGCGCTTAGGCGCATATAAGTGCCAGCAGTACATACTATTATTTACCTTACTTTTCACCCAACTTTACCTAGTACTTACTACTTAGAAAGTCGCAGTAGAAATCTATTCATTAGCACAACACATCTCACATCCTTTATCTTGCTTATATCTTCACATAAGTTTAGTCTCTCTTATTTCCGCTTACACGCACGCGCTTTCCCGCGCTTCGCGCTAATACGCGCGCGCGTTCCCGCGCCTTCGTACCTTGCGTGCACCTGCGCTTTCTCGCGCTTCGCTGAAGCGCGTACCTCTAGATCTCCGCTGCACCTGCTTCCCCTTTAGGGTCGAATGCACTTGCCATCTCAAGTATCGCAGACTAGGCAACGCACGACCTACAACTTTTTAGATACAGTCAGGAGCATTTCTTTGTTCCTCTCAGTATTGTTGTTTCTACACCGTCCTTACTTAGAGATGCTGAAAATCATACCCTTGTTTTAGATCTATCAAGTGTTTACTCTGCCCTTGCCATTGAACCCGAACAACCCTATGTTGAAATCGTTTGACATCTATCCCATAATCATGAATGCATTGGACGACATGTACGCACACCCCGAGCACTTCCCCGCCTTCTTTGTGGTGGCCGAGAAGCTCCCTTACCTACGGTCAGTGTCTTTTCCCCACTGTTGGCCTTGCTCATCGCGATACATTCAGAGAGAAAAATGTCTTGGCAATCGATCCCAAGACCCGAGAGCCCAAAACTGTTACTGTACATGGAATGAAGCGGCCGAAGAACATGAGTGATGTCAGGAATATAGTCATTGTGACTGCTCCTGAGTTGGAGGTCCCCTATGCACAATTCACGCTTCCGCTTTCTTTCAAGGCTGTGACCATACACAGATCGTACTTCACGGGGCTGTAATGGATAACATTATAAAATGGTTGCTAGTATGTACTCAAAAAAAACTTCTTTTCTGTTACTCCTTTGAACAGCTGCGCCAGTGAAGTTCGAACGACGAGGAGGTCATACTCCAGGTTAGATGAACAACTGCTGTAGACGCCGGTCAGAATGTTGGGAGTGTGCTGACTCATATACTTGAATAACGAACAATTAGAATAAGAGGTCTTTGATTGTAGCTCTGCAACAGACACATCTGTATATTCTAGTACTGTGTAAGTCCCAAAATGTCCCTCGCATATTCAACAGTCTGACTACTAGGATCTGCATCCCCCCGCCGTGAATGCCATTGATGGTCTAAAAAGCCTATCTTTGAAATGAGATCATAGACAATAATCACTTAGTGAGTTCACTTCATGTATTTGCGTCAGTGAGTGTGTCTCATCAGTGTTTAATGCACTTTTACCCTTGGCAGTGCTATCTTGCCATGCGGCCAGTAATCAGGAATTTTCCGATGGCCAAGAAGCAATTCTGATGGCCAGCTATCTTTAGATGGCCAGGCGTTTTGATGGCCAGCTGTCAGACATCATTTCGGCATTCAATTGCCGCCATGATTCAGTACAAATGGGAATGGGATAATACAACAAACTCATTACTCTCATTACTCTCAACCGTCACTTATGATGTCTATTCTTCCGCCGTTCAACTCCTCGGCTACACAGGTCGGCATATTTGAACTCTCCAACGTACTACCCAGTCCTAGATGGTTGGATTTCTTCATAAAACTCATACCAACAGAGAAGGTCAGTCAATATTATTAAAGTGTCTTTTTGCACATCTTGGACTTACTAATGTTCGTTATACAGCTCCGCACTGAATTATATCTCCTGTACTTCTTGCTCAAAGGCCGAGTTTATATCGGCAATATTTGGCAAATAGTTGGGGAGTGGATGTTAGAAGCGCAGAGGGAGGAGTCATTGCGAAATACTGCTGGGGGTTGTATGAGGCGTGTGATTATAGAGCGAGAATTCATGGAAGGAAAGAGGGACCGATGTCAGCTGGAAGTGTCTTTGTGCAGCCAGGCCATCGATCACTTAGAGCAACGTTGGATCATGCATAAGAGACTTTGACATTAACAAGCGAATTGATGGTCTGATGGTTTGCTATTTAGCAATGTGCCCTATTCCAATCCCAGTTATGCACAATGTCACCTCATTCTCAGCGACTCCGAGACGCATTGTCGAACCTGCTGTGGCATATTCACCAGCTGCATTGGCCTATTCAGCCACTGTGCGAAACAAGTGTGAAACTTGGTTACGGAGACAAAATACCGACCCCATCTTTGAAAGTAACTCGCCCCTGAACAGCTCTACTCTTTCAGCTGTTGAGCAATTCACTTATACACCACTAGAACAACAAACACTGTTCTCTGTAAAGGTCAGTACTGTCACCTATCTTGTTGGCTGCTCTTACGGTATCTTTGAAGTTCAATGGTCCTCCCTTTTGTTTGCTGAGCACATGGATCACCACTGGTGTCCAAGAGACCTTCGATGAAGCACGCAAAGTGGAACTAACTACTCAGGCGAGACTAATGGCATCATACCTTGACATCGACGGCTACCATACTCATCATCACAATGCTCAGTCAGAGCTAATCTTCTTACAAGCAAAGCTGTGCCGGGCCCAAGCTGAGGCAGAAGCTTGTGCACTGGCCATTGAAAATGCCCCTGCATCTAATTATTCTGATAGCGGTGGGCTCACATTGTTACAGTCACTACGTGAGCCCCCAGCTACATGACCAGCCCTCTGCCACCTCGCACAGCAACGACACGATACCCGGGCCTTTAGGCCTTGATGACAGACGATTGATAGAAGAGAAGTCCGGAAGATGCCGGATTAGGTAAGCGATCTGGATCGCTTACATGATATGACGACATAGGTCTAGAAGACCTATTTATGTTATCAAAGATAGAAGGCAAGCCTCGTGTTGCCTCATGTACTGATAGAAGCCTGCCTCATGCATGGTATCTCTGACTCGATAGATAAGCACTTAGAACCCAGCTTCAAGCTGAGCTTAGATACGATAGAGTAGCCTTATATAAGGTCGATAGATTAAAGTAGATGTTCCTTACTTTAATCCTACTGGGTTTTACCTCGAACTCCTTGTCTTGCTAAAGCTACTTGCTTGACATCAGATCCGTACCTTCAGAAGGACTTGAGACCCCTTCTGCCTGTAAACCGCTATCATCGCTCGCCTCCGCAAGCGTACGCAACTTCCGCTCTTCTGTGGAAGCCGACCTCGGACTCTCAGCACGAGATATCACTGTTGTGATCGTCGCTGTTAGATCATCCCAGTCCGCACGCGACTACCGTCGTAACACACATTGATCTCTGCGTTATCTTCAAATGCTAATACCATTGCAGAGTTCTCTTCGCCCCCACGCCCAACTCTCCCACCACTTCTACCGGAGGAAGTGCGTTGCTACAAGGAGTACATGAATGCCGAATCAACTGATGATCGCTCTGATTCCAATGTCTTGTGGTAATGTTTTTTTTTTGCATTTTTCCCAGTCCAAATTCAGATCCCAGACAGTTGGGGGGCATTTTCTCTCTCTTCATGTGGCAATACATCTACCGGATAGGCCACATCGCAATGTTCAACAAGTGCACGTATCTTTATCTGCTTCCTCTCTATACCAATCTGTACCACCAACGTTGTAAGACACTGTAGTTTCTACAAAATCACGCAATATTGATCAGGTTCTCAGTGTTCTCTTGACGAATTACCGAATCAAAGCGAGTCAATGCGGTAAATACAAGGATCACCTTGACTTATTTATCCGTGTTTGATTTGTGGTATTGTTACTGAATTGTCGTGCACGCACACTCAACTCCAACCTATAAGGCCAAATAAGGAACACTGGTACTCAGGTGAGGCAACATCTCCTGATCGCCGCATCTACTACTTCATATTCATTACTACTAGCTCAACCAGACAATGTCTCGCGTTATCTACAGCCCTCAACTTGGCGACGACGGACTTGTAAGTGTCGCATGCATGCAGTATAGTAAAATCTAACATTCAACAGACACAATTGCAAATGTTGGAGGCAGATGCGGTATGCGTTCAGTACTGCGTTGCTGATGAGTCTAACTTCAGGACTTGAGATGACCGCCACACCGAGTCGTCCACGCCGAACGCTATGTGGGCAAATGAAGAAACTGTGTGCTGACAGCTTCGCTTGCGTGGCCCAATGCTTGAGATCGGTGATGCAAAGGGTAAGTGCTTCGTCGGATCACTCAAAACAATGCTAATGTACACTAGAGATGAATCGATAGACTTGCTACACATTACTAGAAACGCCCGGATTAAGATACCCCGTGCCACCGTGCATCAAACCATCATCTACTAGTAGTAGCACTAGTAGCACTTCTCTGATCTACCACACGTGTTACAGACTTACAGTGCTATGCATCTTTTTTTTTGCCTAGCACATATAATTTCATAACAACTATACAACAGTAGTACTATTAAAATGTACTATACCATACATCAATGCGTCTATACCCTAGTGTATAGTGCAGCCATACTTATGATAGTACGGCAAAGTACAGCGTCAAACAGGGGTAGTCTAATTGCTACGTAATCGGTTCCCAACGATATTACGGTTCCTTGCAGGTGAACTTCGTACTGATTCCGAATGGAGAGAATTCTATATTTGATTCAGAGGAATCATGATCGAGATAATACTTAATTGTTTGTGCTTGTTTGTGCTTTGCACTCATTCACTACAAACAGCGCGTGATTCATTGAGTTACGTAATCATATTTCTCTTTGTACTACCATCATCATCGTCACTCGAAGCTCATCGTAGCACAACACGTTCTTGCAAATTTGCAAGTTAGAAAACCTATGTCGGTATGTTCAGTCACGGTGCACATTCAAGCGCTGCAGTATTCAGGATGTTACCATATTTCAGGCAATATCAAAAACTCAACCGCAGGCAGTGGCGGGGCTGTTTCAACATGGTATCGGTATCTGGCCAACACAACTACCTCGGTACGCAGAAGCAGTATCGCTGTGAGTATGAATATGGTGATTTTGTGGATTTCAGTGAGAACTAACGTTTTCCACACGTAGTGCAAACAATGCACCTGAAGATACTTCGGTCCCTAGGAAAGCCATCCATGAGCCCCAGTTGGTTGCCCCCTTTCCGCCAGTGACCGTTTTAAACCTTATTAACAGGTCCGTGATTTTTGGAGATTGGCGAGAGTTGGTCCACCCGTTAGGCGGGACATACTACTATAATAATAACAAGGTGAGCATCGCTCATAGAAGTCATGCACTTAGTAACTTCATTCAAATCAGAACGCATATACATCAGCAAATTTAAGGAATTATCAATATCTACAGATGCTCGATGATTTTGTCGATGCGTCACGAGCCTCGGCGAAAGAAGACAGCTGGGTGCTGGTTGTTCAGCCAGCTTTGTTCTTAGGAGAACAAAGATTTCAATATTACTATGTGGTCCCCAACTGTCGCACCATTGCCTGGTTAGAAGACTTGAATGGCATCCTTCTCTTTCGAGAGTGTATCAAGCCAAGTGAATGGGGCCATAAGAGTACGTTTCCTTTACACTATCGCTTGTACTTGTACCCGAGCTTGATTATGATTATATAGAACTCGAACTCGAAGCTCAATATTGGTGAGCGGTTGGATCTCACAACATGTCAGGTTCTCAATGATCAGCAGGAAACACTTTGAGTTCTTCCCCCACCACTTCCAAATGGTAACGTCCGAAGTAAGAGGCATATGGAGGGAAGTTATTTGCTATCTCAGTGGTAAGTCCTTTGCTGTTCCATTGATGTCCAGAATGATCTGAGCAACACAACAGAAGTGACAATTCTGAGTCAATCCACGGCTGCATCAATATTCTGGACTTTGGACGACATGAGTCTGATTATCACACAACTGGCCAATATTGGTATGTGCCCTTGTTTCGTCCTCCATAGCATTCCAGTGACAGAATAACAGAAGAGCTCGCAGAGCATGACTTAATACCAGAAACCGGCATTGTATTCTGTTGTGCGTGATCATTTCAAAACCAAGTGTTCAAATACTGATCTCTTCAATGACAGGCAGAATCTTATATATGCTATGTATGTCACCTTCTCGTAAACCACCCGTTCATTGTTCAAGCCTGCAACACAGGGCACCACCAGTATCTGAACCGACATAATCAACCTGAAGCTTGGCTTATTCAAACGCACGCAGTGAGAGAGAGGCCTAGAAAGTACAAATTTCTGTCTTGGATGGCCAACGTTGCAGCGACAATGCTATGTATGCCAATCACTATTGAACGCATCAGGAGTACTTCTGTCGATGGTATCATCAATGGGGTGGAAGTTCAGATGTTTGTCGATGATTTCAGCAGTCAGACCAAAAGCCAAATCACCCTAGTAAGTACTTTATCTGTATTGCGAACGAGAAAACCTCCATTCAGTACTCTAACAGGCAGGTGTCTCCATGGCCTTGTATATTGCCATCCTTGCCATTCCGGGCTTAGGCACAACAGCCATTGCGCAGATGATGTGCTCCTGCTCCTTCCTTTTGGGTGTCGGTTGCATTTTCGCGGGTACAATGGTACAGCACTTTTGTGAAAGAATGAGATCTTTTGACTTCGCGGTTAGATTATTTTCACACATCTTAAATTCGAGTCTGACATTGCCAACTGAATAGGCATATTACTTGCGAAAGAGGACGATAATGCTCGTTGTCATTACAAGCATACCGACTTGTTTTTGTGTCCTGAGGTGATCAGATTGTGATTTCGACTACTTCTATTGCTCATATAATTATCATCAGCGTGTCAGGTTCCATCCTCGGATTCTTGGCAGGTGTCTCGATTGACTTTAAGCCATCCACACCCTTAGTAATTTCATGCTTTGCTTCGATCAGCATTGTGGTAGGTTCTCTACTTATAATGGTGTTCGCCAGTTATGGTCCAGGCCTGGTTAGGGCACAGCCGCAGTGATATCTTCATTTGAACAACGCGGAGGATATTCTGCGAGTACCACAGATATGGAATGGAATGCATTGGTGCATACATACTTGCGTCTCACAATCCGCTTTAAAAGTCAGGACCTAAAGGGTAGTTATAGTGATTTACATAGATGCGATCAATTGTCTTATTCTTTTTTTTGTGATTGGCTACCAACCACGCAGGCTCCACGACATCAGTCTACGGTGGATCTGCGAACTGCTCGGGGTACAAAGCTTCACTGCATGCTATCATAACTGCACTACACCAAGGTTTTTCATTACAGAACTGATGAATGTTCCCTGCACTGCGATGCTGATTTTACTTGTTTCAATACAACTTTGGAGTTGACTCCCTAGTGTTCAACTTCATCGTCACCATTGGCTGTGCATAGTCAGTTTATTTCAAGAGAACGTGTGTAGGACATACTTTGGATGGGAGAAGGGGCATTCCATTCGATTTGGCGAGGAGAGCACGTACTGATTCCACTTGGAGCATATTTCTCCAAGATTCCGGCCCGGTAACATTCCTCTAGCCAACGCAATCTGTATGTTTGGTATAGTTCCTCCAGTCTTGAGCAGGAAGATTCTGCATGTTGTAGTTGTTTCTTGAGCTCGGCTATGGACTCTGCCTCACCCGCTTCAAGGCCGTGGTTCGGGAGAAGGAGGGGAGCTTTGTTGTTTTCTGCTGCTGGCGAGTTTTTGACGACATCTGCCCCTCTGTTCTGTAGTGAGATTTGGGAATGATTGATGGCGGTTTACAGACCTTACACCAGTGAGTCCTACAGGCTCGACCCTCTGGTTGGCATCGCCAATTAATTCAATACTAATAAATGCCATTAGTAAAATGTGTTTCGTGTGGTTTGTTAGGGTTACCGGAGGTTCAAGCTGATAACATGTCCAGACAGATTGAGGGTTTGACTCTCACTCAAAGATTGTTGCATCATCAGTTTGAACGGGGGCGGCATTATTGTCTAATGGCAAGCTGCACAATATTTATTCTTTTTGACAATGTGCCAGCGCTTTTGTAAGCCATCAATTTAATTTCAGTTATCTTGTCCCCCAGCCACCGCGGCCAGTGCTTGGTGGCCAGTGCTTGGCGGCCATCCATCATTTGGCGGCCATCAGGCACGCCAGTCACCTACAATCTCACATAGTGGGGTGTTGTGGATAAAAGCCGAGTTCCAGGTATGTGCGAATCATGTACTTCCTGCCGAGTTCACATGACCACCCAGCATTCTACTTCCAGCATTCCAACCAAACGCACTGCGTCAGCCCTGCAGATGGGGCCATGCAAAAAAGCGTAGGCTATCCCCAATGTGTGTCATATGTTTGCAGACTCATCTTGTCCTACAGTTCGACATCTGATCCTCTTATCTCCCATGGGCAGCACTTTGGCTGAACTGTATTCGCATTGTGCAATTATCCTTCTCTTCTTATGAATGGTATCCTCAGATTGGAGCAAATGGAAGATACCCCGCTAGAGGACTTATCTGCTGAGTAAAACACTATCATCTCTGTTTGCTTGCTTCTTAACTGACATGTCTCGCAGTGAGTGACGGGAACATCGTGTTTTCGAGCAGCTTTTAGATTCTTATCCCGGACTTTTAGAGTGACTACAAAATGGATCTGAGGAGGAAATCCTTCACATTGGAGAATTGGTGCATTGTTTTTTGTGTAGCTGGAGTTCATGCTTACAATTTATAGATTGGTAAGGGAGCCGCAGGCGCCCGAGGTGACGACACAAAAACATTAAAATCTGCAATTCTTGATTGGATTGCCCCCAAAGGAGCAGCAATCCAGCCTCCTCTACATAGAAACTCGAAAATTGACCGCAGATTCAATCATGAACTTACAGGATCACTGCTTTGTCCCGCTGGGCTGAATTGGAATGACTCAGAGTAAGTGTTTGAATTACTTGCATTGGCAGAGCTGACGACTAATTTGTGCTTCATCATCGACAGGACAAGAGAGAATCTCCAAAGCGGTGAAATGTCAGTTTGCGGGGATCAATGGCCCATTTTTTTGTATGCCCATTATACTTATGACGTTGATGACCCATGGTGTGGTCTTCTTAGGAGCCATTTACTTGTATGCATGAGTGGACATATTTTCGTGCAACCTTTCACTATATTGTACATTATCAGGCTTATAAGCACATTTTCACATCCCCAAGTTCGGTCGACAAAGAGCCAAAAGCCACGCAATCCAGAAATGCTCAACTCCATGGCATGGGTTCAGTCACTATTGCATCGATGGCCTATATTGCAACACAGGTTTGTCAACACCCACCTTTTATGACCGAATTCTTCTAATGTAATACTGAAGGTCCGATTCGCTCTAAGCTCTTCCTCGGTGTTTTCACGAACCAACACGACCACAGATTCAGAGACATTCTACCACAGCCTCCTTGATCTCTTCGAGGACCCTGATGAGTCTACAGAAGTCGATGAGCTGCTGACGTGGTGGAATCGGTATTGTCCCTACTCTTTATCATTTTGACGGGACTCATGTTGCCGCGTACCCAGCCAAGTTTTCCCTAATTCCTCTGCCGCCAAGCGACCTATCACTGCTAACAGTGTCCTATCAAAGATTCGGCTTAAACGACTTGCAGCCAAACAAGCTACAGATTCGAATCCGTCATAGTTTTTATTCTGAACAAACATGTCTTATGTAGTGATATAAATACAACCTAATGCCACTTTGTGTCGACTCATATAACCAGGCTAGCGTGCTAAAGATATTCCAATGATTCACTCGGACTGCTGTCTACGTTTTTCTCAAGCTTGGGCAATCATCAACTGAGATTGCCATAGTTCAGCTGCCAGCTGAGGGAGTGTAATGCATTGTTATGACTTCGCAACCTTGAACACAAGCCAGTCCAGACCAGGACAGTCTGTACTTCGAAGACATTAGCTGACGCTGCCATTTTTAAGAGCTTGTTGAGAATTAAATTGACCCTCTCACCTTGCATGTAATGATCATACATTGACGGCCAGCTAGCAGACGGTAATGTGTGGCCATTGCTCCACAACCTTGAATTCAATGCAGCCTCGACTCGGAATAGTCTATCCTTCAAAGACATTAACTAACACCACCATTTTTCCAGAGCTTGTCAGGATTAAATCGACACACTCACCTTGCATGTGACGATCATATCTTGGCGGCCAGCTGGTAGATGGTAATGCATGACCATTGCTCAGCAACCTTGAACTGAAGGCGGCCCCAATCTGAATCAGTCTTGCCTTGGAAGACTATAGCCTTTACTGGCATTCAGAGAGAGTATGTACAGAATACAATCACGAGCTAAACTTACATGCCATAATCATATCTCATTATGATTGGCTAAGATGATAGTGTGCTGCTGTTTTTTGCCTACATGGCGTACTTGACAAATGTGGGCAACATAATCTAATGTCACAACTCCATATCTAATATCAGCACCAAGACAGATCTCGTCAAGGTTGTAATATAAAGCACAGCTTGTATGTGGTAATCATGTTGCAACAATATGGTATTGCATTATAATCACTCCACACATTTTGGCCGTTGGTAATGTTTATCCAAAATAGTCCGGGGATATAAAGCTTTACTTGATGTTAACATTCGTTTATTTATTGCAGTGAAGGAAAACCCTGTCAGAGGTTATATGCCATGACCAGGACATGGCACGATTATAGTGTACTATCACTGATACTAAAATAGGTGACCATGGAGGCACTCAGCAACTTAATATTCCATTATCATGGCTGGTGGATGTTGTAATATGTACCATCTTTGTGACAAGCTGGCAATGTGACTATCACCATTGTAAATTTGGCAGGTTCCATCCCACTTAGTCTGGGTATTCAAAGGTTTGTCACGACAAGTACAATTATGATAAATATTATGCAAAAGCTAGTGCAGATAAAGCTTTCTATGACATTATCATTTTCAGGTCGGTTACCTGATGTCACCTAATGATAGCGATACCTATAGATAATGTCATTTGCTCTCATTAGATTTGTTTTTGGATCAAATCGAGTGATATTTCGTATGTAAATGTGTATCGGTGGTCTAAACAGATCGAGAATCATATCTAAACGTCTAAATTGTTTCTCGATGTCATTCTTTTTCCATCTCGAAAAGTCTCATTTGTCTAAATACATCGAAATACATCGATAGATTTCATGGGCCTTTATTTTTTAGATATCTATATACGTATATCTACCCGATTCTTGTCAATTTTCACTGGGGCCCAACGCCCAAGCCCAACGCCTAACGCCCAACCTCGTGACCAAAAATGAGTATACCTAGAATAAATAGATTGTACAGGTGCCGAGACATAGCCTGCGGAGTTTCCCGGCACCTCTCGTTTTTCGACCTACCTATGACATCAAGCTACGCATCTTTCAATCTCACTTGTTTCAGACTTTGAACCGTTACTGCTTCGTATTCCAATATTATTGTAATCGTTAGAATGTATAAAATACTATCTTGATTGCGCTGCACAAGAGTTAGAGCACGACCGAATTCGTAAGCAGGTTTCCAGCCCACCCAGCGGCTCCACCTGCTTGCGTCCCTCCCCAATCTAACACTCAGACCAGCCCAACACAAACAGGTCGTGCCTCCGACTCTTACTGAGCCAGACGAAGCTGAACAGTAGGAGCTCGCTACCTCGTTACAGTGCGCGGGGCGATGATGTAATGTTAGGGTTTAGTTAGGGTTTACTTTGTATTTACTTCTATTTATTCTAGGTATGCTCATTTTTGGTCACGAGGTTGGGCGTTAGGCGTTGGGCTTGGGCGTTGGGCGTTCAACTTTGAGCTCCCCTAATGTAAAGCTCTGGAGTCTGTCATGAGCAGGAATATATACCAGATAAAAAATATGGCACAGTTTCTGAGTCTTTTCATCTACAAAAGTTCCATCGTTGAATGGCGTGAGTGCATACAATGAGAACGCTAGACGCAATGAATTGGCTGGCCCATACTGGACTATTTCGAGATCTAGTATGGATGATGCTGGTCCTTGTTTAAATCTTATAAGGATGGTACGCAAGTCAAGAGATCCGCGCAGTAGACTGGCAGGTGGATTCGCGAGTCACGTTCATATGCCTCTGCGGAATCCGGATTTCTTGAACGATTACGACGGTCAACGGTCAACGATTAACGATTTTTAATTGGCTGACTACGCTACTATGCAACTCAGATACCACATACAGTAAGTACCTTCAAGCTAACAGCTCACAGGTACACTGTGCCTCTGACGTTTTCGTCGCAGTCGTGGTACCCCAGTCGCAATGGATTGGGTCATGGGATATCCTGGGATACGGTCGTACGTTCATCGTAGTTCGTATGCAAAGAAATACATAAATGCATGATGGATTACAGGTAAAAGATGCGAAGATATATGATGCAAGATGCGGAGGTAAAAAAAATTAGTAGATACAAGATGAGTCCTGCAGAGCAAGCACCGACTACACATAGAATCTGAAAGTTAAGAGGGTCAGAACGAAGAGACATACATGTAAGGTGAAAGGGCACTCACTTCTTATTGATCTGGTAGAGCAACAAACTAATGTTGACCTTTGCCAGTCCATTGAATAAGGAAAGGGAAGCCTGGTTCTCGAACTGAGCCTGCAACAAGTCTTCCATACGCAGATCAGTAGAAGCTATCCGATTGGTGATCCCCAGCGTGTTATTGAACACTTCCATAGTGAAGATGCCAGGTTTGTTGGAAGAAATGGTGATGTCGATTTTATCAAACTGACGGGGAGAGAATTTATCGATGGAGAGTAATATACCCTTCTCATACAAATCCCTCGCACTGTATTTGAAAGATCCAAACTGAGGATTCTTCCCCGACTTCTGCAAGTCCCGCAGATGAAAGTACTGCTTTGTGAACGGCAGAACAAAACGCTTCTTCCTATTCAAGAGTTTAGCGCAATGTAGGGCACAAACATAATTGATCTTTACCCTTTGCCTCGCTGCATGGTCGCCATCGCAGCTTCAACGTAATTGTGATAACTGTCGATCTGCTCTTCGAAATACTTCTTCCGTTCAGAAAGGTGCTTCAGGGCGTCTACCATGCTATCCATCTCCTGTTGACGCTGTAAGCGTTTGCGGTGCTTGCTGCGGACATCGCTGGCAATGGCATTCAGAATACCCTGGAATCCGTCGTTGCGCGTAATCTTCCCCTGTTTCTCGAGTTCAAGAAGGAAGAAGATGGCATGAGCTTTGACTTCTTTGAAAGACAACCTTTTATATTTTTTTAGTTGAGCATTGTCTTCCATACTTCTCGATGCAACTCACGATCGAATGTCTTCTAGCCTATAGGCGGACTCGCCTGCGGAAGTTGAAGGCATACGTCGTGACGTTGGTTCGTTATCCATTTCGGCCAAGATGTTCTCCCAGCGAAGTTCATCGCTATCGCTCACAGGACGCATCAAAGATTCGACAAGATCTTGCGCAGGTTGGACACGTAAGATCGCAAGTACACCGCGCTTTGCTTGTACCCAGAGCGTTTTCTCATCAGCTTGTGGATCTGCATTCCCGTCAACAAGCGTCATCGATATCGAGTAGCACAAGCTTACCTCGGACATGAGCAAACCTGTTCGTCAGCTCCAGAGTAATCGCACGATCTCTGGCATCCTTGAGCTCATCGTTATCAAGATGAGGTACACCATCCAACTCGTGCAGAATAACACGCAAAGCATCGTGTCGATCAGGAGACTTGCAATATATTTTTCAGTCTCAAAGAATTCCTCCTGATTGAATGCACCCACCAATTTCTCTTGATATTGCGAGAGCAAGACATGCATACCGTACACCTCGTTCGGAGAGATGTAAATAGGCTTTGGTTGTACTGTAGCATCCAAGAACTCGTGGGCATGGTAGTGACTTTCAGCATCGGGGACATCCGCGACTGCTGTTTATCAATAGAGATGAATACCAGACATGCTCAATACAATATAAAAAAACAACTCACTTCGCACTAGCCAATTGGTCATCTGCGTGATCAACGTGCGCACACACTCGTTAATGGGCACATAATTAGGCTGATCATCATTGAACTCAGAGCCTGACGCAACCTGCGTCAAGACCTTGGAGATCTGCGCGAGATTCTTCCTGGTTGCAATATCTACCGATGCGACCATATCAAAGTTTTCAGGCGATCTGCAAATCTGGGTGATGAGCGCCTGTCACAAGAGACCGAAGATGAAACACACAAGATGGCGGGGTTTAAGTACCGGTAATATACCAGCCTGCCAATGCAGGCTGCATACACTTCATCAGGCGCTCCAGGGAACTTCTCCTTCAACTGAAGAAACGTTTCGCGCGCCATGAATCGCACGCTGTAGGGCATCCTGCGGGTCGACTCAAATATGGATACGGCAAAGGCTTCAGTCCACCACTGAAGTTTCTGGAGATCTGTAGATATATCAAAATAAGCTCCAACACTTCAAGAAATAAACACGTGCGTCTGATGTACTCGGCCCTGGTATCAGGATCTTTCAAAGCCTCGTAGAATGGAACATCTTTGGGCTTCGTGCTTGCAATTCCAGATCGCATTTCCTCCACATTTATGCGCGATCGGTGGATCTAGACAAGGTGAAACGTCGTCATACAAGAAGCACAAGAATACTTACCACAGTAGGGTCAGGTTCT